AAATTTTGGTCAATGACATGAGACAAAGTATATGTGAACTGCTGTATGAAAAGTGAATTTACTCTGTAAATCTTCACCCAAATCCTAAAAAAAAAAAAAAAAGAACAAGTTCTTTTCTCTGAAGAACTAGACAAACACTAATCTAAGCTAAATGAACAATAGTATTGAAGAGAGTTACTCTGGAACAACAGTTTAGAACTGATGCTTTTGTTTTTGTCTGAATTTCATCTGTTTGTTTTATAAGAACTAGAGATAAATAATATAAACTCTTGGAGGGCAGAGACCACATGTAATTCATCTTTGTGTCCTTCCTAGCTTAACTGCACCTAGTGCAAAAGACATACTCAAATATTCCCCAGAAAAACTGCCTTTAAATTTTTAATATCAAGACGCTGTTAGATATCAGAATAGAGGAGCAAGATGACATTTACGTGGTCACCATCGTTGAACATGCCAGATACACCAATCTCCAGTGATCACAGTCATCAAACGTGGATGGCAAGCAGGCAGTGGAATCCTCTGCAAAGGCAGCACAAGCCGTCATTCTGCCCCAAATCAGGCAGCACGCCGACGTATAAACCACAACCTCAAAGAACCTTTCAAAATTCTGTCCACAAAGACATTACGTCTATGTCAGAAGAGTGGATTACTCTTAAAATCAAGAGGACTACTGATAACTCTGAAAGTGATTTGCTGCCTTTTTTTTTTTTTTTAAAGATAAGTGTTTTCAGGAATTTATTCATAACAGGCCTGGTGATTTCAACAGTTAAGACTGGTTATCCAGTAAATATTGTGTTTTAAAACTCTAATTCTACTTGCATTTTCATAAGACAATAAATACAAAGCCATTTGAATCCCAAATGTTGCTACCTTAGCTATAGTTCTGATCTAACGGTGGTCATAATGGTTATTTCTGGGGTATGCAGTGGAGCTAAGGGTACAGGTGGGGAGGTAACGATAACTTTTTATTTCACATACTTTTGAAAGATTCTTTCAAATAATTAGCATTGTTTTCACTTTTGCAATTTAAAGAAAGTTCTGTATCTCAAAGAGAGAAACTTACATTTCTTTCCTGAATTCTTCCATTTTTTGATTTTCTACGGTCAGCAGTTCTTTTGATTTGTTCAGCTCTTCCACATTTTTCAAGTTGTTTTCCTTCAGGGCATCCAACTTAAAGACCAAAAGAAAAAGCTCCATGAAATGACTTCATTTTCCAATGACGTGTCAGGACTGACAAATTACTCATGAAAATGTGCATTAAAAGTCATGTGCAATTAGTCACTTGAAAAAAGCAAAAAGGAGTCACCTGGGTGAATAGATGACAATTGACCGTATCTATTATAAGCAGCAAATCTCTTCTTTGATTTAGTCAGACATTTCCTGTACCTGGCCAATATGTCAAATTAAACTGCTACATAAATGAAACCTAAGTGTTTGCTCACCTTGTGTACAGGCCTCAATTTTTTTTTTAATCTGTCAGTGAACTTGTTATTCAAGTACAGTTCATCTTTTTTTTTTTTTAAAGGAAACAGCAGCAGCAGAAAATGAAACACAAACGCTCGCCTTCAGCAAGGATTATTCTGTTATGAAATGAAATTCCATTCCTTCCCTATTGATTAGTCATTTAGGACAGTACATATTTTGATTCAGTAGCAAATTGATATAGTCTTCATTAAAGAAATTATTCCTTTAGCTCAAAATATTTGCAAATGAGAAGAGACTGAGTGATCTGTGCAAAAGACAAAAAGCCACAAGGGGAGACTGACAGGTAGTCACACCCACTGAGGCCAACCACCCTGCCCACAGGAGAGCAGACGACTTAGGGCCTGGCCCCTGGTAAACAGGCAGATGCACTACTGGAGTAAGTAGGGATGTGACTGCCCACAGGCCCTGGCAGGTGGTCGGCTGCCAGGTGCAGAGCCCCCTCCCAAGATGTGGCACTCACTGTGGACCTCCCACCACAGAGCATGGTCCCAGGGAGCACTGGCTGCTAGGCCTAAGCAGATGTTCCCAGTAGTTGGAGAGACTCCTGCCATGTCATGGCCCACGGTTCTGGAGTGCCAGAGAGTGGCTTTGCTAGTTTTACTATCACCACTTTCTTTTTAAGGCCTAATATATCAGAATCATGGAGCAAGAAAAACGAGGTATCATAATGGGTCCATAAAAAGATTCACCCAGCCTTGCATTTTCGGCTACTTGAAGGCACCGAGGGACGTGTTACGGAAGGACGCAATTCTCCCTGATTCCATCCTTAAAGGACCAGGACCCCAAAAATACTCTCATTTACTTTAGCTTCTAGTTTTATCATCATCTATGATTTTTTAAATATCTTTTTATTTTTAGCTTAAGATGGTCAGTTCTAGAAATGTACTCCTTTCTGTGTGAAGTTTTATTTATTTACCCCACAATCACCTCAAAATATTTATGTCTTCACGGAACATAATCTCTGACCTTCCAGAATGAGGAAGCCTAGTCTGTTCCAAGAGCTGTTCAATGCGGCCATCCCACCCCTGCTTTAACACCTGCCGTCTCAACTGCCTGCCCCTTAAAAAGCATCTGAAGTTCCACAGAACTGCTTCAGTGAGTCAACCTGCTTAGGATTTAGGTAACAGCTATGCAAAAAAAGAAAGGCCTGCTGAAAGCTGGGAGGGTGGGAGCAGAGGAATCAAAGATGGGTAGGAAAATGAGAAATGCTACTTGTGGATAGAATCAAAATATCCTGATGCCACAAATTTATCCCAGCTCCAGAAGTGACTGATTCGAGATGACACAAAGGGAATTCATACTGGAATAGGCCAAAGAAAGGAGGCCCACATGAAACTTAGGGCTGAAGCATGAATTTAGGGGCCAAAGGCTGAAGAGAAGTGGAGAGGAAAAATATGTGTGACTGTAGATGAAAGACATAAAAACTAGAGACTAGCACCAGGAGCTCCTCATTAGTTCTATCACTGAGCAGTCATCCTAGAGACCCAAGCTACTGGGGATCTCCCCTCAGGGTTTGAAGGCTGACCCTGCTAAGTAAGTACAGAAGTAACACATTTTATTAGACGTTACCACGGCTCCAGTGTACATTCAACTCCGCTAACACACGTCAAACCTGTACAAGGCCACGCTTCAAACACAGACTGGGATCAAATACTTCCATGAAGTCGGTAAGCTGTTCTTTGTACAAAAAGCCATTTAAATCTGATTACTTCATTCTGGAGTTTTTCATTTGTTTGCTTGGTATCTTCCAAGGAGGCTAGCGTCTCAGTCTTCTCTTTGGTCATCTGCTCCATGATCTGCACGGCATCTTCTGCGGTCTGGGCAGCCTAAACACGAGAAAGCACTATGAGAAACAAGGACCCACCACCCTCATGGCCAGGGGCTGCTCAGGCCATGCTGTTCTGCAGCCTGTTCCTCACCCAGTGTCTGTGCAGTCAAGGGAGTCACCAGAGTGTGAGGCAGGCCTCAAGCCAGCACTAAAACAGACAGACCCAGACATGGAAGGTCTTTGCTCTGAAGCAGAGCAAAGCTACAGGCTCTTCACATGCCATTTCTCCATCAGTCAATGTCAGGTGAAATGTATTTTCAGAGCTCCCTCAACCTACTATCCAAGTTACACTGATTGCTATGCTCACCTCTTCAACTTATGTCTGAGAGATGTTCAGTGAGGAGGGAGAATAGCCCCTGCATAGCTGAACTTTCCCCTAATCTGCTTCTAACAATATTTACTGTTGTTAAGTTTCAAATACTATTCTTGCTATTTCAAATGTAGGGCTTTTGAAATCGCTCAGAATTTAGGTTGGGAATTTTTCAAATAAAGATCATTTGGGCAAGTACAACAAAAGGCTCAAGTGTCTAACGGGAAGTACAGAATGGAGACATCTGTCAGAGGCTGTTGGTAAGAACATGAACATGGCTGTGACTGAAACAAGCAGAGCACAGAGAAGCAGTGCTAACAAAAACCAAATCAAATCTTTCTGGGCACTTGCTCATGGTTTCATCTGATCTAACAAAGTTCACGGGGATTCTGCATTATATTTCCTCTCTTATCAGCCTTGGAGATTTCAATAGAATCTTTCCAACTCCAAATGGCACAGTGAAAGCCTACTGGGAAATACTATTTTAACATGTGCCAACTTCACTGTTGCTCTTAAGTCTTTAAGAACTACAGTTACTTTTTATATGAAAAGTTCCTTAAATTAAAATATAAATCCTTTCTATTCACAGTTTAAAGTGTCAACAAATAGGTAGGACCTACTACAACTAGACATTTTAGTAAAGAACGCCCTAGCCACTCCTCAGAAGGAAGGCTGGGCAATCTACTTCTGTAGTGATACCGCCTTGGAAACCCAAGGAGGGGTCACTATGAATTGGCTTGACTCGACAGCAGTGAGTTTGTTTTTTTTTTTCTTTTATCATACTGTAATCAACAGCTTGAGACACAGATGCAACTGATTGGATGGGGTGGATTTACAGTGGAAATGAAGAAAAATCCCCTAAGTCACTAGAGTTAGTGGCCCAGTGTTAGTAGTACCAGGTACTCAATACTTGAACCTCTCACTTTACCGTAAATGTCTGAAGAGTCTCGAGCTCTCTAATTTTAAGAGTAAGCTTGCTCTTGTCTTTCCTCAAAGTACGGTTTTCGTTTTGAGATTCTAGGAGGTTGGCTGAGATGTGGCTGTTGGTTTTCGCCAACTGGCTGATCTCTTTCTGCAGGAGGAAGTAGCTCTCCGCCAGCCTCTCCTTCTCCTTCAGGAGCTCGTCTTTCTCCTGCATCATTTCTCTCTTTTCAGTCAGGAGGGCCTTGTTGTGCTGCTCCACCTTGGCTCGCTCAGCCAGGGTCACCTCGTGGTTCAGGTGGAGGTCTTCCAAGATCTTGGTGAGGCAGCTGTGCAGTCCCTGCAGCTCTAATTTGGATTGGGACAAGGTGGCAAAATCGCTTTTCAGAGTCTCGATGTTGGTGGCAAGCTGAGCAGCTTCTGCACTCAAGAGTTCCTTTTCTTTAATTATCTCCATGACTTTTTGCTCAGATTTCGTCTTCTCTTGGATTAGCACAAACTTCTCCGATTGCAGCTCTTGTACCTCCTGCTCCAGGAGCACCATTCTCCCGTGCAGCTTATTGTTTTCATATAGGGATGACTCGTTTTCCTGCGCTCTGGCTTCTTTCTCGAGGAGCAAGGACTGCTGCATTGCACGGATGTCCTCGTTTAATTTCTGACACTCATCTTGCAGGTTCAGCCCATCCCTCAGCAAAACGTTCTTTTCAGAACAACAAGTCTTAAGTTCAACATCCAAACTCTCCTTGGCTTGCAATATGCTAGAGTGTTCTTTTTCCAGATTCTTTTTGTCATTTTGAGCTTCTTTCAGCATCAAAGAGAGCTCATACTTGCTGGCTGCTAGTTCCTGGTTTTCCTTTTTTCTTTCTTGCAGCTCTTTCTTCAGGGCATCCAGATTACCAAGTAGCTTCATCTTCTCATGCACAACCATCCTTCTGCTGGTGGACTCTTGATCGTATTTCCTTTTAAGGTCTCCTATGGCTTTGATGGCATTTTCTCTCTCTGTGAGTAAGTCTCCAGTTTGCATTTCCAGTGCAGATTTTTCTCTCAGAAGACTCTCCTGCTGCTTCTTGAGCTTTGTCATTTTCTGACAAGCCATCTCCTTCTCAGAAGTTAGGTGCGTCAGCTTCTCGCTCAGGCTCATCTCAATATGGACAACCTCTTCTGAGCATTTGCTGAGTTTTTCAGTGAGGATCCTATTTTCCCTTAACAGCTCTTCATTTTCAGCCAAGAGCCTTTGCTCAGAGGCGGCCAGGGTGTCCTTCTCGTGCAGAAGCTGGGTGCGCTCAGAGTCTGTGATCTCCCGGCTGGTCTTAGCTTCCTCCAGAAGCTTCGTGAGGCTTGTGTTCACTGCCTGAAGCTGCAAGGTCTCCAGTCCCGCCCTTCTCAGAGCTTTGCTGGCATCATCCAGCTGTGCGTGCAGCTCACTGGCTTCTGTGCTGAGCAGCTGTTTGGCCTTGAGGGTGGCCTCCAAGCTGGTGTTCAGCTTTTCCTGCCCTTGAAGCAGTGTGTCCTTCTCACACTGTAGATCTTTGTTGCTCTGGAGGAGATGGTCTCTTTCTATCTTTAGGGCCAGGCACACGGCATCAAGACTTGACTGTTTCTCCAAAGCTGACTTTTTCTCAGCTGTGAGATCTTCAATCTCTTGGACCAAGGCTTTCTGATCTTTCACTAGCTCCTCGTAAGAGCTCTGCAGCTTCTGAATTATTTCGTCCTTGTCTTTAGCCAAGAGATGGTTCTCACTGGCGAGCTTCTTCATCTGATCTGCCAGGTGGCTTTTCTCTTCCTGGTCCTTCTCCGATGCAGCAATCAAAGTTTCTTGGCTGAACTGAAGTTCTACAATGAGTGCCTGCATGCTCGCCTTGGACACCTGCAGGGAGTCATTTTCCATATTAATCTTCAAGAGTTCTTCCTGTGCAAGATTGATTTCTTTGAGCAATTTCTCTCTTTCAGTAGTCAGAGCTTCTTTATTCAGATGTTCCTGCTGATAAAGCTTCTCAGCATCTTGCTTTTCTTCTAAGGCTCTCTCCTTTTCTAAGTTAAGAGTTTCATTTACTGACCACAGTTTCTGCTGGTCTTCTTGAAGTAAAGTTATTCTGGCCTCCACCTCTACAAGCTTTGATAAAAGCGAACCTTTCTCTAACTTTAAAGCATTGCCCTCTTGTGCAAGAAGCTGCTTCTCTGATTTCAGACCCCTCAGCTCTTCTGACATTAGTTCAATCTCTTTTTTGGCTGATGTTAACAAATAGGTTAGCGACTACAGAAAGAAAAGGTGGAAAGAATGGAAACAAAAATGAAATCAAGCAGACAAATGCAAGCCCAAATAACTTAATGCAACCTAAATCATAAAAGATTACTTTTCTTTTTTTACAATAAGTTCATCAAAACTACTATAACTAAGGGAAAAACAGAGACCATAAAAGGATAAAGCAAAGCAAGGTTATCTTTGCAAAGTCTTCATGAATCTACCAGCTCACTTTGTCTTCAAGACAACTTGTGAAATTGTTTCTGACAACTAGCAGCATTAGATAAAAGCAGTAGCTTGATTTTGATATAAAGGGCATAAGATTCTTTCCTGCCATTCTCATCATTTCTGGTTCAGAAATGATTCATACAAAATTACTTTTTAAAACATAATTCAAAGAAATACAAAAAAATGAGTTTTTATTTTTGTTTGTTTTTTTAAAACCAAAAACAAAGGTAAGGAAGAAGAAACCCTTGCTTTTTCAAATTAACTGCAGGATCATATTTACTAAATGAGGACCACTGGCCTGAAATGGACTTGGTCACAATAGCACATATAACTTATTAAAAGTGCAGTCTAATTCATTAGGTTCTGTGGCTATAAGGAACGGCCTTTAACAAATGTACTGGCTTATAAAATTATTTCACCATTATGTCTAATCACTGTCCAGCACCACTGCCCAACGGAACAATTATGAAAACGTTTCATATCTACACTGTACAGTAGGTAGTCACTGGACACATTTGACTACAAATGTGGCTAGTGCAACTGAAGGATAGAATTTTTATTTGACTTATTGACATTCAATTAATTTAAATGTGAATGGCTACATGTGGTTAGTGGCTACTGTACTGGACAGCATAGCTATTAAAGACAGACCTTTGGCTCTTAAACTAAGGAACAGAGTGGCTTCATGGGATCCATGAACCTCCTGAAGTTTTGGAGACTATGTGGGCACATCTAACTTTTCTAGGGAAAATATCCATCACTTTCATCAGATTCTCAAAAGAGTCAGTGAGCCAGTGCTGTTGACACAATGACACCCAGTGTGATCCAGGCATCTCTGGAGGGGGAGCAATCTTGGTATTTTAGCCAATGACCTCTGAAAAAAACCAACAAAACTAATGCAACCTTCCACAAACTACTAGAATGCTGTGGAGTGGTCAGGCTGACATATTTTATGGGAAACGCTGAAAAATGGGAGTCTGGCCACACAAAGGACCATAAAGGCAAAAGTTTTCCTGAAAATGATCCCACGTTGAATGGTTCATAAAACTGGAGGAGTTTTACATGGAGAAGAGAAAGTGTTGATAGGCAGCACGTAGAAAAGGGAAAATGTAGGCATCTTTTATACACAAGACGAGAAGCAGATTTCAACTGAATGCAATGAAAATATTTTTGCAAAGCTTTTTGAAACTGCATCGTTATCAGATGAGGCCATGAGATCTCCAACAGCAAGGCTGAAGCAAAGGCTTTGAGGATGTGGCCTAAAGGAGCTATGAAAGCCGTTCTTAAACTTGGTAGGACCACTTTTAAGGAGCCTTGGTGGTGCAACAGTTAAACACTAGGCTCCCAATTGAAAGATCGGTGGTTTAAACCCACCAGGGGCTCTCCACGTGAGAGAAGACCTAGTGATTTGCCCCCACAAAGATTATACCAAGAAAACCCTATGGGGCAGTTCTCCTCTGTGAGGGAGGAGAACTAAGAGTCAGAATGGACTCCATGGCACACAACAACAACATCACTTTTAATTGCTAAGATTTTTGGCTATGAAAGAAGAGGGGAAATGGGAAATGAGTGCTGTCCATTAAGGTTAAACTACCATTCTTTCTGATATGATACAGTTGTCCTAAATGGCTAATAACATTCACTTACACAAAATGTGAAGGAAAAAAAATGCCCGTATCTGAGTGACATGGGATTGAGATGACAAAAATTAAAATTTTGGAACAAAACTTGAAAGTTTAATGTCTTAACTCTTTAAAAATAATAACCCATAATGGGCTATGCCAAGTATATTTAAGGTTTCTATCTGAAATGCATTATAAAACATAAAGAAAGCTAATTAATAAGGGTAATGTTTTATGTAGTTAATTTAACAGACCAGTGAATCTTCATCAAAATCAGAATGCTCTAACTATGTTAAAATATTTCTAGACCTCTCTGAAAAGGCTCCGTGTGGTCACCCCAACACCACTTCCCAAGACAAAGGTGGGCACACTTCTTATTTCCACAGGGCCTTCTATGTACCCTCCTGGAACAACTGTTCACTGGCCAGAATGAGCTCTAGACTATATGCTCCTTGAAGGCAGGAACCGTATTTTGCACACTGCCATCTCCCCACAACTCAGCACAGTGCTTGGCATGCAGATCGTTGTTGGGAGCTGCTGTGAGTCGACCCCCGACTTATGGTCACCCCATGTGTTACAGAGTAGAACTGACTCCGTAGAGTTTTCTTGGCTGTAATCTTCACAGAAGATTAACCAGGTCTTTCTTCTGCAGAGAGGTTGGGTCATTTCAAAATGCCAACCTTTAGGTAAGCTGCCAATCACAAACTCCTCAGGGGTGAGCAAACTATGGCCAGCCTGTCTTCTGTTTTCATGAATAAAGTTTTATTGAAACACAGCCATACCCATTCATTTACACATTGTCTATGGCTGTTTTCATAGGACAACAACAGAGCAGTTGACTTAGAGACCATATGGCTTGCAAAGCCTAAAATATTTACTATCTAGGAGAAGCCTGCTGAACTCTGGAGTATATTCTTAATAAATAAATAACCCATTCATCAGCTGACACTGAAGGACATGAGCCAGTTCACAAATGACCATTACTATGTATGTGTGTGCGTGTGTGTGTGTGATCATCCATTTAACAGGAGGTTTTAGATGGGATTACTTTCAAGTCCTACATATGCTCTTTTATATTTTCTTCCTATGAAACTCCTATGTAAAGACTTCTTTAACACATTAAAAATAATTAAATGCAAGTATTTACTCTTCTTTGAGCACTAAAAAGTTAAATTATAGTAGGAAGGCTGAACCTCACATAGTCACGAGGGTCACAATGCACACTGGGGCACAGATATAATCCTGACACTCTAATATGAAATTCAATATATCAAGTTCTACTTTGTTTAGAAGCAGTCTGGTTGTACAGTGGGAAGCATTTTGCTGCTACCCAAAAAGTTGGCAGTTCAAACCCACTAGCTGCTCTGCAGAACAAACGTGAGGCAGTGTGTGTGCTTCTACAAAGACTGACAGCTTTGGAAACCCTACAGAGCAGTTCTACTCTGTCCTGTAGGGGCACTGCAAGTTGGAAGTGACTCGAGAGCAGTGGGTTTGGTTCTTTTAGTTCTGCTTTATTTAGTGGTTTCCTCACTGCCCTCAAACCCAGCTTCCTGTTCAGGAAGCTAATAGCACCTTCCTGGGGCCAAAGACAAGCCCTGTCTAGGATGATCAGCCAGGCACCCTCTCCAGTTCTCTGTTTCCCTGCTCACTGGCTTCCCTCGGCTTCTCCCTGTTGTCTGTCTGCAATGTGTCTCTCCTAACCCTGGTGGAAGGCAGCAGTACTGATGGCCAGGATTAGAAGGGAGTGCTTCTCCACACAATAGTGTCTACAGCAAAGAAGCTGACAGTGCTTCGCCAGAGAGGAGTCTTCGTGGCAGCTGGGAAACAAGCAGGAGTGGGGGTAATGGCTCCATAGTACATTCAAGGGGAAGGTCTGTGGCTATCACCACCTTTGGGAAGGAATGGAGTTTGGACAAAACATTCGAAGCAAAGGTAATTCACCATGCCGCAGGCATGCAAAAGTGTTAACGTTTTCCAAAGCCAGCTTCACCCATGTCATTTGCTGCTGCTTTCTAAGCCCCTCACAGCCTCAACACAGAGCCAGAGCGAGCTGGGATGCAATTCCACAACAACTCCCAAAACCTACTTTGGCTTTGTCAGCTTGTTTTCTCAGCTCCTCCATCTCCTGCAGCAAGCCACTGTTCTGCTCCTGCGCAGCCTTCAGCCTCTGCTCTGCATCCACCAGCATCTTTCGCAGGTTCTGCAGGACCTCTTCGTGCTGTGTTTTCGCCTCGGAACTGGCTTTCTCGTACCTGGCCTTCATATCCTGGCACTGGTTGTGGCTCATGTCCATTCTCTTTTCCTGCAGAAACCCACGGAAAAGAAGTCATCTAGCAGGTTTGTACTGTGCCCTCTTTCCCTGCCAGCAAACAGTCCCTTCATTGTCCCTTACCAGGTCCAAGAGCTTCTTCTGCAATTCTTTCTTTTCTTCTTCATGCTTTCTAGCTGCTTCCTGCTGGCTCTGCTCAGCTTTGAGAGTTATTTCCCCAATACTTTTCTGCAGAACACGTGCACTGTCATCTGCCTTGGTCAGTCTTTGCTGTAATTCTTCGACACATCTAGAACAGGTTTCAATACGAGTGGTCAAATTGTTCGTTAAGCATGCTTTAACTTCTAGAGCTAAGCTTTAAAAGTATGCTATTAAGCCAAACTAAAGATAGGCATATGAGCTGAACATTTACATTAGGTAGATACACTCACTCCTTGGACAGATGAATCATGGGAGAATAGAAGGGCTGTGTATGCACAGGGAGATGGCTCAGAGGGCAGGAGTGCGTGGAGGGAAGGACACAGGAAAGAGGTAACTATCAGGAGGAAGTGGGAGGGGAGCTGTTGCACTGTGGAAAATTTCAGTCAATGTCATGAGACTAAGTGCATGTGACCTGTTGTATGGAAAGTGAATTTGCTCTGTAAACTTTCACCCAAATCACAATTAAAAAATAAAAAAGTACACTATTAAGAAGGATTATGCTAATGATTACAAAAGTTATGAGTAATTAATAACACCTGAAACAGGAAAAAAAGCAAAAGAGCAATGACTTACCCTGCAAAGAAAACTTTTAATGCGTTTGACAGTTCTAATATTGAGAATAACAAGTACTGTAATTATGAAGCTTCATCATTTTACATCAATAGATTGTTGTTGTTGTTGTTGTTATGTGCCATCGAGTCGGACCTGACTCATAGCAAACTCTCCTTGGGTTGCCGAGGCAGTATCACTACAGAAGTATTGCCCGACCTTCCTTCCGAGGAGTGGCTGGTGGGTTTGAAATGTCAGCCTTCTGGTTAGCAGTCAAATAAATGCCTTAGGCACTATGCTACCAGAGCTCCCCATCAATAAATTAATGAGGAAAAATTAGTGAAAAGGTTAGCATATTAAAGGAAATAGGTATTTAGAAAGTTTAAAAATTTTATCAGACTAGATTATCAAAAATCATTCTAGTGCCTTCTAAGAACCAAAGACATAAAAATGAAAATATACAACTTAAAGTTCTAGTGAAAAGTAACCATGAGGTCAAAAAAGACACCACCTAGGGAACAGGCTATTAAGGAATCAGGGAGTGCAGGGGGGGAAATGGGTGGTACCCCTGGGTTTATGCCCACAAAATACCTACCAAAATGGAGCTTCTCAAAGGCATTCTGCCACAGCCATGTGTGCAGGTGTACTGCCCCATAGCCAGTCTGACCAAAGATGGCCAACCAAGCTCTGGTCTCCCATCACCCACTGGCTCTGAATTGTGGGTGGGTGGACCATTGCCAGTGTCAACACTGTAAGAATCAGAATCCCAAGGGTCCTAAAACAACCTCTAAAAGGCCTGACAAAATAAAACCTTTGAGTTTTTATAGTACAACTATGAAAGGAAAACAATCGAAAAAAAGGGAACAACCTCAGAACAAAGACTAGAACAGGTATTAAGACTAAAGACACATTAGCATTGAGGAAGTACAGTGCGGGGCATTCAGAGTGGCAAGGGCTCTGGAGTCACACTTCTGTCTAGACTTATGCTGCATCACCTCAGGCAAGTCATTTAACATCTTAGCATGTCCTACTCCCTTCTTCTTTAAAATGGTCCTAACAATATATTCACCTTAGAGTAAGGTTATTGACAGAATCAGCAAATATCCTCCCATGCAGGAGTTAACATAGCACATGGCACCTAGCGAGCCCTTCAGAAATGACACCTACCATTACAATGGATGAGCCCTGGTAGCACAGTAGGTAAGCACTCTGTGCCCACCAGCTGCTCCACGGGAAAAAGATGTGGCAGTCCGCTTCCATAGAGAATGACAGTCTTGGAAACCCTATGGGGAAGTTCTACTCTGTCTTCTGGGGGGCCTGTGAGTTAGAAATGACTTGATGGAAGTGGGTCTGGTTTGGGCTTTGCTTCCACAAAGACTGACAGCCTTGGAAACCCTATGGGGCAGAGTTCCACCCTGTCCTACAGGGTCACTATGGGTTGGAATTGACTCAACAACAATGGGTCTGGGCTTATCATTAATTTTCCTTTTTAAATACTGTAATGGCACGTAAAGGAGCTCTAGTAGCACAGTGCCTAAGGCGGTTCAAACCCACCAACCACTCCTCGGAAGGAAGACTGGGCAATCTACTTCCGTAGAGATACTGCCTTGGAAACCCAAGGAGGGGTCGTTATAAGTCAGGACTGACTTGATGGCAGTGAGTTTGGTTTGGTATTTCAGAATGGCATGTAAAAGATGGTATTGGCACTGATAAACTACTGACTTCTCTTTACAAGTCATCCAAAGGTTTCTAAATAGAAGACATATCCTTCCTGAATCTTGGGATAGGTCAAAATGCACTCAAGAGGTTAGCTAGTTTATTCAAGGTCACACAGAGGTAATGAGAGAAAGGAACAGACAGGAGGCTTCCCAGCGTAACTGTCCTGCCACTACTGCTGCCCTCCAGGGCCTCATCTTACAGAGACACCACCATCAACACACGCAACATACTTTTCTTTCCGGCGTAACTCGTCGTTCATTTTCGTCAGCTGAGAAGAATTATCTCCCGACATCTTCATTATTTCTGCAATGTCGTTTTCCAATTTTTCCTTTGCTTTTATTAACTCCATTTCTCTTTCATCTCTCTCTCTAAATTTTGCCTCCATATCTGAATATGTAAAAGGTAAAAGAAGAATGGCACTGTTGTGGTATAATCAACAAATTTAAATGTATTATCTTATTGCCTTTTTGGTGAAAGTATACACAGGAAAACAGGTTCCCAGTCAACAATTTCTACACATACTGTTCAGTGATATTGGTTTTATTACTCACATTGTGTCAACATGCTTCTTAGTTCTGTTCTAGGTATTCCATTCCCACTAACTTTGTCTCACTGGCCCCAACCCTGTCGTCCATACTAGAGTAACTGCTGACCATTTGTTCTCAGAGATCCTTTTTTAAAACAGCACAGTACTCAAGGGTATCATTCACTAGCTTTGGATCTAACCTGCTATTTAGATAAAAGGGGACTTCAGGAGGAGACCAACAGAAATTTATCAAGGGCCTCCTCTGCGCCCATCTTGTTCTAGGAAATATCTGCATGTAGCAATCCCTCTCTCATGAAATTCCTACAGGCATGCCCCATTTTATCATGCTTCACAGAGACTATTTTTTTTTACAAAATGAAAATGTGGCAACCCTGCGTAGAGCAAGCTATTGGCACCATTTTTCCAATAGCTTGTGCTCACTTTGTGTCTCTGGGTCACATTTTAATCACTCTCACAAAATTTTTTCATAAAGCTATTGCACACTTTAATAGACTACAGTATAGTGTAACCATAACTTTTCCCAGGATAGTGCACGGGGAAACAAAAAAATTTGTGAAACTCGCTTTACTGTGGTAGTCTGGAACTGAACTTGCAGTATCTCTGAGGCATGCCTGCATTCTAGCAAAGAAGACACAGTAAACAAAATAAATGTTTTAAAGCAAGCAGGTAAGAAAACAACATAAAGAAGGGAAAAGATAAATATGTATAGGGGGTATAATACTTCAAGACCCGGAGGTAGAGAGGGCGTGAGCTGCGTGGGCCTCTACAGATGATGGTGGCAGGACGGGAAAGCAGGGGCAAAGGAGCAAGGCAGGAACAAGGCCGACGCATTCAAGCTCCACATGGAGGGCCACATGGCTGGTGCGGGGTGAGCAAGGGGAACGGTGGGTAAGAGGTGAAGTCAGAGGCGGAACAGGGGAACCAACCAGAAACCAAACCCACTGCCAACAAGTCAATTCTGACTCACAGTCACCCTACAGGACAAAGCAGAACTGCTCCATAGGGTTTCCAAGGCCGACATCTTTGTGGAAGCAGGCTACCACGTCTTCCTCCCATCAAGCAGCTGGTGGGTTTGAACTGCCAACCTTCCAGCATACAAGCGAGCGCTTAACCACTGCACCACCAGGCCTCTTTAACAGGGAAAAGAGCATGGCTTTTACGCTGAGTGAGATGGGAAGCCAGTGGAAGGCCCGGCCTCGGGTAAAGGGCTGCCCTGGCTGCTGTGTAGAGAACAGACTGCAGGGTAAGAACAAAAGCAGGGAGGCCAGCGGGCGAGCTGCTACACCATCCAGACAATGGCCGGCTGGCCTCCAGGGCAGACAGAAAGCAGGGAGAAGGGCTTGAATTCTAGCTACATTTTGAAAATAGAGCAAGCAGGACTTGTGGAAGGTCACTGACATCAAGTAAGTATTTTATAACATTATGGCACTCTACTAAGTGAAGAGGTTAAACACCAATATCAACATACTACTGTAACATCCACAGCTATCGCAAATCCTAGTATGCCTACTGTAGCTAACGCATGGTCATCAGAGACGTCTTACCTGCTAAATTTTCTCTCAACTTCTCTAATTCAGAGGACAGCGTGTTAAACTGTTCTTCTTTTTGGTGTAATTTGTTTACAGTTTCTATTTAGGATAAAGTAAAAAGTTTAATATATCTCATATTTAATAAGCCATCTAGAGCTTGGCTGTCTCACAGCCAAATCGAATCATGTGTTTATGAGAGATGAAATGCCAGGATACTAGTAAGTCTCATTAAAAATCAAATCATGGCTTCCAGCCAAAGACAGGCATATAAGCTGAACATTTACACTAGGTAGATATACTCCTCGGAGAGATGAATCATGGGAGAACAGAAGGGCTGTGTATGCACAGGGAGACAGCTCAGGGGCAGGAGTGCATGGAGGGATGGACACAGGGAAGAGGTAACTATGGAGAGGAAGTGGGAGGAGAGCTGTTGCATTGTGGGAAATTATAGCCAATGTCATGAGACACAGTGTATGTGAGCTGCTGTATGGAAAGTGAATTTGCTCTGTAAACCTTCACCCAAATAACAATAAAAATTAAAAAAAAAAAAAATCAAGCCACGGAACCACTGTGGAAAACTATACAGCATTTCCTTAAAAAGCTGGAAACAGAGACGCCCTGTGACTCCGTAATTGCACTACCAGGTATGCATCCTAGAGAAATAGGGGCCATGTCAAAAGCAGATGGGACGCATACCCGTGTCATCACAGCACTACTCACAACTGCAAAAAGAAGGAAACCACCTAATGTCCATCAACAGAGGAACAGTCCAACAAGCTGTAGTACACACACAACGGAGTGCTGTACAACATTAAAGAACGACAACGAACCTGCAAACCACAACCTGGGTAAACTTACAGGCCATTGCGTTGAGTGAAGTCAGTCAATCACAAAAGGATAAATACTCTATGAGGCCATTACTATAAAGTCAAGAATAGGGTTTCACAAAAAAAAAAAAATATTCTTTGCTGGTTACCAGGGGTAGGGCGGGGAAGGGAAGATAAACCAGCAATGAGAGGGGAGACACATAGTAACTTGGGTGAAGGGAAAATAAATAAATAATGAGATAAACAACAAAGGAAAAAGTAGCTTTAAGATGTTCAAGGAAAATTGAAAAATCAAAATATTCTCTCAAAGAAAAAGTACTTCTGACCCAAAAATTACTTTACTGCAGTGTTTGATCCACAACTAAAAGAGAAATGTTAGATGACTAGAGGACAAATTATCATGGATTTTAAAATTCAAATATAGAGGGGACATGATGAATATAACTGACATCACTAACTGCGTACCTGAAAAATGCTGAATTGGCAAATGTCACGTTGTATGCATTTTTACAACAATTAAATAATATATATTGTGGCAAAAACTTATCTTGTGTCAAACAATAAAACAACAAATCATGCCACGATGGTGAATCTGAAGAGGGTTAGGATGAGGCCAGCAGGCATCTCTCAGAGGCCTCCAGGACCCGCAGATCAGGCAGGCACCAAGCAGCCCCAGGGCCAGTCATCGCTTTTCGCCTTCCAACTGAAAGTCAATAAAGCTACCAACGACTACAGCTTAAATATGATACTTTTCCCAAGTATACTTACATTTTAATATGGAACAAGCCTTAAATCTAAAGAAGAAAGAATTAACGGGGAGTCTGAGGCTTCAGGAAGCCAATGGAATCCAGAGTTTGCTCTGAGGGGCGAGAACTTCCAGGACAGTGAAAGTAGACTAAAAGGCATCAGGGACAGGACCCACGTGAGAACATGACAGCCTCTAAAGCCAGCTGCTCAGACTCAAAACACTAAGACACACCTTGCATACTTCTCTGAACAGAGACCGCCTCCTCCGAAGCTTCAGTAAACTTTTCTTTCTAAAGAAAAAGAACGGGATATTCAGAATAGAAAGATACCAGGATCTCAAAGTAAGAAGACAAAAAACGTCTATCAGTTATCCGTACAACACGATCTGTTCTTTGTTGCTGGTTCTGTTTCATTAAAACACATGTATGCTTAACACATGTAAACCTCAATTACTACATCTCCTACTGTGTCACGTCCCTGGATGGGCACATGTGAATGAGGTTTGCATATGCAAGTTCCAGTACATGCGTGAGCACACATGTAAGTGTGCACGCATATGGATGTGCCTATATCCATGGATATGCATAAGTATATGCACGTCCATGCGTATGTGCATGTGTATGCAGGGGTGGGATGTGTATCCTTTTTCCTCATGTTGCTACCCTCACATAGCAGACCTCTTCAGAAAACTCTGAGACAGTGAACAGAGTTCCGAAAGTTTCCGTATCTAACAGTAATCTAAGCCTAATATAATATCTAGATCTACGCCAGGGCTTTTTAAACTGACCTACTGTCATGGGTCTTCTTTTCTAAACACGACAGGCCACTCTCTTGGTTGCCCTGAGATGAACTCTGGGCTAGATACACCTCAAGAATTTTTTAATGGCTATTTCTAACTCACTAGAACTCTAACTAGAGACAAGATGGGCATGCACACCCAAAATCCACCCAGAGGCTGACCACCATGTCATGCCCAGAACCAGACCTAAGGTGGCATGTTTTCAGACCACAGAAAGGAGTAGTCCAAGGCATGCTAGGAAGTTTGGGGAGAAGGGCAGAGGAATGATGTGGAACTTAAAAAACTGTCTTAGAGAAAACTATACTACAAAATGGTGATTCCCAGACCAACTTTTGCTCAAGATGTAGCTGAAATAGTATATGCCAGACTTGTCCAACAGAACTTTCTGTAACGATGGAAATGTTCCATACTCCACTGTCCAATATGGTAGCCCCTAGCTATACATGGCTGCTGAGCACTTAAAATAAGGCTAGGAAACTGAAGAACTAAATTTTAAATTTTGTTTAATTTTATTAATTTACTTTCACATGGTCACATGTGGACAGTGGCTACCACATTAGACAGTGCAGCCATATATTTAGCATGGAAATATATAACCTTATAATACTAGCGTTTAAGTAAGAAAATTTACGCATGGTGTGGTGTTAGCACAGTAGGCAACGGGGGGATATGAGACCAGTGGTCCTCTGCAGGTACAGTTTATCTCATGTGGTTTCTCCATAAACCCATGCTACGCATGTGCTTCTCCATGCTATAAACCACTGGCACTGCTCATGCGTATCAGCCTTGAGGAAGCGTGTGTTTTTGGTGCAGGAGGCAAGGTAGAAGGGAAAAAGGTTAAGGTAAGAAAGAAACTATTTCTTACCACTTGGGATTAAGGAAAGAAGACAAATGTGAAAGGAAACGTCATTTCCTGAGGTGGAATAATCTCGTAAGAAAGAACTCTTTGACTTCAGTGACTACGACAGCAGCCTGCCTCACTAACAGAAGGTGCTCATGACCCAGGATGGCCAGCTACCCACACAGCCCTGAAGCACAGGAACATGTCCTCATCATAGAAAAGACATAATTGTATTGGATGCATGACTTGGAAAGTTCCTGTGATTAACGCTAAACCAAGTGGTCTACAAACTGGTCTTAAAGGAGCCCTGGTGGGGCAGTGGGTAAGTGCTGGGCTGCTAACCAGAAGTTCGGCTGTTTACGCCCACCAGGCACTCTGCAGGACAAAGATGGGGCAGGCTGCTTCCGTAAAGATGAGAGCCTTAGAAAACCCTATGGAGCAATTCTACTCTATCCTACAGGGTGGCTACAAGCCAGAATTGAATTGATGGCAACAGGCTGTTGATAACATTGCAAAGCAGTATATTCTCAGAGGCAAAAAGGACAGATTAAAAAAAAAAAAGTAATACCCACCTTTATTACTAGTTTGGGTTTGATCTGATTCCCTTCAAGGTGTTTACCAGCCAGTAACTGACAACTCAACTGAAATCAACCATATGCAGGATAAGGATGGCTGCAGTATTTCGACCTCTGTGGAGACGTTTGTTTTTGAACAGGAACAACTGGCCACGAACCCTGAGATTTGGATTCCCGAGACATACTTACCAAAAGCTGAAGGTCCTTCTCCAGGGTCTCCTTTGCTTGACTGACTTCACTCAAGTTTTCCTGAAGCTTAGTAAGCGTTAGCTCTTTCCTCTGGAGCTCTCTGGTAACGCTACTAGCCTAACGTATACAGTTACACGGAATGGAGGCAAATGAACAAAAGGGAAACAAAATGAATGAAAAAGAAAACAAAACAAAATAAATGTAAAAACTTTATGAGAAATAAAACTGGGAAGAATAAAGGTATGAGTCACCCTGGTTTTCTGTGTGCTATGTCTTGTTTTGAGGTTGTTATTACACTACGACTTTTCAGACAATCTGCTCTGCATACTGCTGTCTCCTGGCTGTTGAGCCATGCTGGTACTCAGCTCTCAGGATGAGCCACTTGAGCACTTTCATTTCCTAGGTTTTAGAATGTTTAAGATCTGGATGGTGGGGCTATGTTGTCTGTGATATTATACGCTGTCTTTTGGGTATGCTCGAAGTATTTCAATAAACGTTAGAAACCCATTAGACAACAGTTGTCAGAACTTGGCTTTCATTAAACCTTCATATAAACAATAATAATAATAATAAAGGTCAGCCAACCATTGGCTACAAAGTCTCTTCTAATTAAGTTTTGTGTTTTGATTGCTGTTTTGGAACCACGTGAGGAGACTGGAGAACAATGTATTGTAAGCGGTTTGGCATCATCAATCATAGTAACTTAGCAATATCTGTCCTCCCCTCTCCCCATGTAACCATCACAACCCTTCCTTCTTTGCCAATAGAGCAGCTTCTCCCACAAAAAGCTGAGAACATTCAGCATCAAGACTGGCTCCCTAACTAGTGGCAGGAGCTGGGAAAGAGTTTTCCATCCTCCAACAACCCTTTCAAATGAAGATGACATTTAACAAGGCTGGTTAGTGAGCAATGTAGTTGGCAAATGTTTCACATAATGTTTATGCCTTGACCAAAGCACATTTATCCAGTCTTTCCTCAAAAAAGCAGAGAATAGTGGTGTCCTTGTTGTGGGGCAGGAAAACTTCTATGAGACAGAAGTAGCAGCAACTCAAAGTCTGGATTTTGTTGTGAATATTATTTGTCATAGAATGTTGAGTAGCACCCAGCTTTCCCATTTTGTTTTTATCTATAGCCTATAGGTAAGGCAGTATGTAGGTGGGAAAAGAGGAGATGATCTTGTATGCTTCTATGTCATCCATTCATTCACCTTAACTTAGCACCGTCGATTTAGGGAGTTTTCTAGATGACACACTGGAGCCAAGCTCAAGCCAGAAATCAGAGCCAAGCCCAGGGATAAAGTCACAGAGAGAGTGACCAAACAGAAAACTGATAGGTAAAATCAATTCTTACAGTTGAGGTATCGTTTTCTCTAATCTCCTCACATGAAATCACTCAAGATAGTCAGAAAACATTATACTCAACTGGGAAATGTGTTCACACCAAACAATTAGTTTTAATTAAATTAGGAATTTGAATGATGAATTACCTCAACTCAAAAGTAACATAAAATGCAAAATAAGAACAACAAATGGAAAACAGAAAGATGGAAGACATCAATACAAACCTTGCCACTCTCAGCATTCTTTTCAATCTCTAAATTTTTAATCTGATTCTTGGCTTCCTCAAGCTGGTGTCTAAGTCTCTCGATTTCCGATTTACCTTCGGAATCAGCTTTCCGAAGCACATCAAGATCCAAGAGCTTCTCTCTGGCAGCCCCGAGCTGTGATGTTAAATTACCAAGAACCTCGCTCTGTTCACTGCATCTGGCCTGCAGTGCCTCTAGCTCCTTTACCTTTATTTCCGCCTCCTGCAATTTGTTGAATGTGTCTTCCATCTCAACTAGGTGTTGGTCTTCCGCTCTGTCCAGCTTTGATTTGATGGCTTCCAGGCTGTTCTCCTTTTCTTTAATAACTTTCATCAGGTTAGCCCGTAGGGCTTCTATCTCTTTAGCATGTGCAGACCGTTCGGAATCTTGTTTACTCTGCAGATTTTCTATCTCATGTTGGTAATCTAGTCTGACTTTCTCTATCTGTGTTTTCAACTCCGCCAGTTCTGCTGTCTCCATACCCACTCCTTTGCTGAAGGACACCTTCAGCTCTTCCATCGCCTGCTGATGGGACGCAATGGCTGTCTCCAGCTTTGACTTCCACAGAGCTATCACATCCGAGTTCTCCTTGTTGGCATGATTGAGCTTGCTTCTCAATGACTCATTCTCTTTGGAGAGTTTCTCTGTTGCCGTGTGAAGGGTCTTTATCTCCTTCTGGTGCGTTTCTTCACGGACTCCAAAATGCTCCTTCAGGGAAGTTATTTCTCTCTGGTGGTCAGTATGAGTGGCTTCTAACTTTTCTTGCAAAGTGCTTATCTCTTGCAAAAGGGAAAGTGACATATCCACATCTCCAGCAGGTTTATTGGACTCAAGCCTTCTTCGGAGCTCAGCTACCTCCTGTACTCTCAATGCTAGGTCTTTTTCTAGTTCCATGATACGAGACTTTTCTGACACTGTAGCCACCTATTAACAACAGTCCAAAGAAAAAGAGAGCACTTAAATAACAAATCACCAACGATTTTCTTTGACCCTGAAGATCTTAATAACCAATAGAAATGCTTCCATTTTAATATATCTGTAACTAGAGTCACATCTTAAATTCAATTCTGGTGGCTTCGATTCAAAATTATCTCTGGCAAAGCGCCACAATTTCAAGATCCTAAAGGAACCCAGAAAAGCACGAGCATTTCTTTTTCTTCTAAAGAAGCTTAAACCATGGAAGTATCCATGACCTGGCAATCAATTAATAAACAGCAGTATTCCAAGTTCTCAGAGATAGCTGCTTCCTGGAAGGAAGAATGACCCTTATTTTTCTAGCTGCTGCCACCCCGACAGCAGGGTGCACAAACATTTCTCTAGCTGGTGGAGGTGAGCTCACAGAGCTATGCTGGCATATACAGAGGCCACCAGCCACACATGGCTTCTGAGCCCTCGAAATGCAGCTAGCCTGCAGTGAGATATGCTAGAGTGTGTAAAACACACATCGTAATTTGAAGATGTAAGAAAAACTATCTCAATAATTTATACCAACTACACAATAAAATGATAGTACTTTGGATATATTGGCTTAAACAAGGAGCTCTGGAGACGTCATGCCTAAGGCATTTGACTACTAACCAGAAGGTTAGAAGTCCTACTTAAGCTCAAAGCCACCAGCCACTCCGTGGAAGGAAGCCTAGGCAATCTATTTCTGTAAAGATTTACGGCCTCAGAAACCCAAAGGGGGTCGCTATGAGTCAGAATCGACTTGATGGCAGTGAGTCTGTTTTTTGGGTTTTGATTTAAACAGAATGTATTATTAAAATTAATTTCACCTGTTTTTTAAAGAAGTTAACATGGATACTAGAAAAATTTATATCATAAACATGTGGCTCATGTTAAACTTCTCCTGGGTTGTGCTAGTACAAAAGACCTACAAGGACCTGTCAGATGTTTCAACAAATAACCTACTGATTACAGAATAAAAGTCTCAATGAGATGATAAAATAATTTATTAGTCATTTTACAGAAAGACAAAGGAAGAATGAGTACTTACCTGTACTTAAACATAAGACTGTCCCACAGACTCCCCCTCTATGATCCTCTCAGCACGCAGAGGTACACATCTCACCCCCCAAACCCAGTGGTTCTCAGACTCGAGTGTGCACATGAATCACCAGGGATGTGTGTTCAGAAGGCAGATTCCCAGTTACTCCCAAGTATTTCAATCCTATTTAAGTTCTGGAGTAAGGCCTAGGAATCTGCCAAATAAACACACACCTCAGGGCTAAGAGAGGCACTTTCCTGACCTGTGTCATATGGTTCTAAGAGCATTATTTCCCTCTGCTGCCTGTCACGCAGTCGGTACAGCACATGGAACATGTGGAAGACGGCAGCTCAGCATGATGATTCATTACTCGACTGACCTGGGCAACAGAAGGAAATAGGAATACTCAAAAAACACCACTGGGGCTCAGAGTTCAAGGGACTTGCCCAAACTGCCTTTTATGGGGACAGAAAATAATCAGTAATGTGCTGCTTTCATCTCCTCAGCCCACCTACAGGATGTGACCCTGACGGAGACGAGAACGTCCATGAGACCAGAGGAGAAAGCACATGGACCTCCAAAGCCGTGTAACCCAGTCATTCAGTCTCGCAGAGCCAACCACATTGCAGGGCTTCGTGATTAAAGATGTTCATTCATTGCTCTTACTTTTTTCTGGGGACAGGTAGTCTAAGAGTTTGTCATCACCAAATAAGGTGCAAACATGTATCAGTCCCATTGTTGCAAGGTCTGTAACAGACAGACAAAAATGAAACCAAGCAGGGCAATAGTTCCTATTCAGTCACAAAACAGGCAAATTGCGAAAATTCCAAGTCAAAGATAAGTAAAAATAATACTATGATTCTACTTTGAATAACACTTTCACAGAACTGTAACTTTTTATCTCTCTTCTCAAGTGTGCCTTCACTACAGACTACCCATGTGCCTGTCTCCCAAAAGGCAGGCATCACTTCCTCTTCTTGCTAATATCTCCATAGCATGGAGACACTGTTTACAAATAATGTAATGGCCTAAAGGAATTCTAAACATGAAACAACCAAACCCATTGCCACTGAGTCAATTCCAACTCACAGTGACCCCACAGGACACAGTAGAACCGTCCCATAGGGTTTCCAAAGCTATAATCTTTAGGAAGCAGCCAGCCTCATCTTTCTCCAGTAGAGCGGCTGCTGGATGCCAACCACAAGCTTCTGGTTTGCAGGGAGCACTTAACCACTACATCACAGGGCTCCTTACAGGAATTCTACAGTGGTTCCTAGGAAGGAATGTGGGTGATATGAAACTCATGAGGTCACTTCTTAGTTTACGCTAAGTCACCTCTTAGGAACTCAAAGCAAGGGTCTAGAGAGGACACTACTTGCTACAGAAAGATAACAGCTTGAATCTCAACTACCTGGAAAAGCCATGCTGGAAACGGGTGCCTTCTTATCCACAACAAAAACACAAAGCTCACAAAGCATCTGGGAGAAAATTTAGAAATTAAAAATCATCTTTCACCAGCCAGTCACACGAACTGAACTCTCCCCAGTTCCCTTTATTTCCCAGATCAAGGCTTCGAGTCCCAGGTAGTGAAGAAATACACCCAACTATTACTTTTTTTCCTACAGGAAAAATCTTTAGTTTTGAGGCTGAGAACATGATCTTTCTTCCAATTATCTAGATTTTTAGATCAGTGATTTCTCACTAGGAGAAATTTCTAAAAACACTAACAATTCAAAAGAAAAAAAAAATCAAAATGCAAAATCTTATCAGAGACAGAGACATTTTTTCAATTTTAAAGTTAAGAGCTGGGCAATGGAGATACTGACGGTCAAATTCATGACGTAAAACATGTGCATGTGTAAAATGCATGCACATACACAGAATTCTCCCGTGGAAAGGACCCCGAGCCTATCCGTGAAGGTTTATGCACAAGACAATGCCAGGACACATTCTGTCCTGTAGTGGTCAAGAGTACAGATGCTGGAGCCCAATGGCCTGGATGAAAATCTTGGCTCCACTCTGACTACTAGTTTTATGATCACGACCTTGGGCGATTTATTTAACCTCTCTGTGCCTTAGTGGGAGCTCTGGTGGCACAGCAGTTAAGTAAGGGCTCGGCTGCTGACTGAAAGCGCAGCAATTGGAACCCAACGGCTGCTCAGCAGGAAGAAGACATGGCATTTTGCTTCAGTAAAGATGACAGCCTTGGAAACCCTACAGAACAGTTCTACTTTGTCCTACAGGTTTGCTATGTGTCAGAATCAACTTGGCAATGGGTTTTTGGTGCCTCAGCGATCTCATGTGCAAAATGGGGACAATCCTACTACTACTCCCATCTCCTAGTGCTATGGTGAGACTGACTAAGCTAATGCTTGTAAAGCCTTTACAATAGTACCTGGCATGAAGCCAGAGCACCATCAGGGTTTCAATAAATAAAAATACTAAAATAGCACTTACTCACTGCTCCAAGGCCACACAGTGAGCTTATAGTAGTAAGAACCCATTTTCCCTCCTGACCACTGAGATTTCAACCTCCGGGGGGACAGAACGGAGGGCGATGCCAAGAGGGATCAGGTAAAAGAAAAAGATAACTGGGAGGAGGTCCTGAATTCTCGCTCCAAAGAGCCAGTGCTGCAATTCTCATCTCCCCAGAGGTCAGGGGAGAAGGCAGAAAAAGGAGCTCATGTAAAACGATAATGAAGAATCATTCAGGAAACCTAACAGCTAGGAATACAAGAGCAAGAGGACAATCAACTGTGTGTGGCAAACTGGAGAAATGCATTTGAAGGCATTAATAAAAAGAACCTCAAATGCAGTTGTGGAGGTCCAAACCATCTACATGTTTGGCTCAATGTTGGTTGAGTTAACCAAGGAAATGAGTCTTTATAGTTGATGAAAGATTTTATATAAAACAAACCCATCTACCTATCCGTCTAAGCTCATGAACACCTGAACAGCACCAAGACCAAACTCAAGTTGAACCACTGGGTCAAGGGGTTGGGCCGATAGCACGGCACATCACCCGAGGTGTCCACCACTCACACACATGGGTCTGCGTCATTAAATAGTGAAAACCATTACCCTAGTGTCTTCTAACTCCCTCTGGAGTTTGTCAGCTTTGGTCTTTTCAAAGAGCAGGCTCTGTTCAAGCTCCTTAATGCGGGCATGCTCCAGTTTGGTCTGCGTCTGTTAGTAAAAAGGAAGAGGAAGAGAACACAACAGTGCCACCATGACATGCCAGCACGAGAGGAGAGCGCGGCATGCAGGCTGAGCCACCAGGACCTTCCGCCAGAGGATGAACAAAAAGGACAATGGAGAAAGGAAGAGGGTGGCAGTGAGATGAGGAGGCTGGGGGTGAGGCTGGATACTATGGACACAAGGATAATGGTGGGCCAGGGAGATGGACTATTCTATCGAGAAAGCAAAATGGAAAACACAGGAGGCAAGATGAAAAGTGTAAGATGCATGCAGCCAAATATCAGTTATATTGATAAGTGAAGTTTATCAGCACAAATTAGAATAGTTAATATTCCTCCAAATTATCATTTCCCTCCTCCCACGATGGCTGTTTGACATTAACGTGTGTGTAACTGACGCAATGACTTTACAAAGGAGACTGTCACCCAAAATGAAATCCGCATCATCTGACGCAGAAAAGGTAACTTCCGAAATCTTAACAGTGCCCCAGACACCCTTGGGAGGTGGTGCACTCTGGCCTACGACTGACATAAACGAATATTCAGCCTGATGAAGCGAATCCAGACACGAGCTGAGGCAAAGCAAGCAGCAGCCTCCGCCAACATGCGTGAGATGACTCGTCTACAGGCCGGTTTTCCAAAGGCTGTTACTCATTATCAGGGCAGAAAAAAGGATCAGGTTTACAAGAGAAAAGTCCATAATAATTATCCTCTACTCCACAGCCTTCATCTCTGAAGCAAACCAGATAGAGGCTCATCAGGAAAAAAGTTTAGCTAGAACTGGTAAGGGGCTTAGTATTTTTATTCTCAGATGAAGAAGTTCCTCCCAGCTCAGGAGTAAGAAATGGGGACTCAACACAACAGTATGAGTCTGAACTACAGCAAAAGACCTGGTGTGATCCTAAGGTGGTTCCAAGCCTCCGAGGTCTCAGAGACACTCTCTAGCGCCCTCCCTCATGCACTCGGAGGGAACCTGGAAGAGAAGGCCAAAGATATTCTCTAACAGGTATTAGGGAAGCAGATCTTAATAATATGAAATATTCCAGACATCAGTCCAAATGTAGCCCCCCACCTCTCCTGCCCAACATGGTCTGATCAGCATAATCAACTGATAAAAACCTACTGACCCAGCAGTTGTTAGTGACTCGTACTCATTTAAACATTGGGTCACTATAGGGTCTACTCTTTCAGTCTGCATAATTGGGGCAACAAAAAAAATGACAACAAACTCTAAACAACGTTAACTGGAAGTTGTGTGCAGAGCTTCAGCAGAAGGCAGACCATAAGCATAAACACTGTGACCTTCTATACTCACTCCAGTGGGACCCTGGGGACTGCAAGGCAGTCAAGTGACCACTTTGCTTGTGAACCAGATATATAAACCACAGAAAGGTATTTATAAGGTGGAAAAAAAAAAAAAAAGGAAATTCCGCACCTGCTCCAGTTCTGTACACTCAACAAAAAATAATGAAATAAAATTCCAAACCTAATTTTCTGCATAGTCCCCTTGATCTGCATGTGCCTTAGACGTACATCGTTCAGTTTACCTGCTTTGACAGGAAAAGAATCTAACCCTAACCTCTGTAGCTAGAGTCACAGCCTCAGGACCTGAAACCCCCAACAGGAAAAGCAAAAGGCCACAGACGCTTCCTTTTCCTCCTGACACTGAGCTGGGTGTCTCCTGGGTGCAGGGTCAGTATTTCCAGAGAAAAAGCAATGCTCCATCAATGTGACCTTCGCCCAGTCAGAGACCTTCCCAGTGCTGGCTCAAAGCTATGACAGCCAGGTCGGCCTCCAGGGCTCTGGGACAAGATGGCTGCATTTGATCAACACTCAGGAAGGGAACCGGGGTCCCCTTTCTGGCCACAGTATGTGGTAAAAACGCTATACACGAGCAGGACAACCCTCCTGAACGCCTTCCCTTCTGAGAATGAGATGTGGAGTCTGCCAGGAGCAAAGTCCCAGGGCAGAAGAGGAGAAGCAGAGGCCCTGCGGGAAGCGCACAGAGAGGCGGGCGGAGAGCCATGCACACTGACGGCGGCAGCAGGCGCTGTTCTGGAAGACGAGGAGGGACGGGCACTGAGGAGCCTCACACACAGGAGCCCTGGGAGCACACACTTTTGTCTAAGGTTCAGTCTTGAGTTTTCTGTTTCAGCTGCCAGAGGTGGTAGGTAGAGAAGCTGTTCTTGGTCGAAATTTTGTTCTCTTGTGGTAAATCAAAGTCAGCCATTTCTAGATGCTTTTCAAATGGCATCACAGCTGGTGGGGTCTGCCGTGAAGCAATGTTTTGCAGACCACTTTGATAAGGTTTCTATTGGTTGGTTGGTACTGATTAGAGGGAGGAAGGAAGAGAAAAACCTACATGCCTAGTAGTGCTGCTACTAGAAAAAGACTCACTTCAACATTAATAAATCAAAAGCCACAGTGTCCTCACTGAGGAATGCTTGCCTCTTGTTTCTATTTTAAGGAAAGGAGCCCTAGTACACAATAGCTAAGAGCTTGGTTGCTAACAAAAGGTCAGTGGTTCGGATCTACCCAGTGGCTCTGTGGAAGAAAACACCTGGTGATCTGCTCCCATAAAGTAGAAAACCCTGTGGGACAGTTCTACTTCTTCATATAGGACCACGATGAGTTGGAATTAACTTGGTTAACTTGGCAGCACAAAGGCACCAACAAATTCTGTTACTTCTTGTCAGGTGCATGGCAAACATTGGCCAGCAGGGGGAGCGCACATAAAAGGCAAAGAGCACAGGGAATTTCCTCACTCCCTCTGACCATCACGGAAAAATGAAACTAGCCAACTTTGGAATTCTTCCCCAAATGTCTACAACTCTTTCATCTAATGTATTTTATGCTTCAGTTGGCTATCATGTCTCTCTGAATAACTCTAAAATTAGAATACATTATGAATTAGCTGAAGAAGGCCACCAGTAACAAAAAACAAACTCATTGCCACTGAGTCGGATCTGACTCATAGCGAACCCTCCTTGGGTTTCCGAGGACACTTGCCTGCTAACCAGATGGCTGGCGGTTCAAACCCACCAGCCACTCCTCGGAAGGAAGGTTGGGCAATCCTACTTCCGTAGTGATACTGCCTTGGAAACCCAAGGAGGGGTCGCTATGAGTCGGGGCCGACTCGACGGCACATAACAACAACAAATCACTATGGAAGTAGGATTGCCCAACCTTCCTCCCGAGGAGTGGCTGGTGGGTTTGAACTGCTAGCCTTCTGGTTAGCAGTCAGATGCCTTAGGCACGACACCACTAGAGCGCCCAAAGAAGGGCAGGCCCCTGGTTAAAATAATTTTCTTTTTGGATAAATTCTTTATAAAGCAAATGTCTGTCTACTCGTTAAATGAATTTACGGAGCTTAGTCATTAGACACAATTTCTTCAGGATACAAACGTAAGTGCTTTGAAAGCCACATGCACAGAAATATGAAAGCCAATGTCCCACCATCAGCTATGCAGTTAGTATTTGAGTGTATCAATCAGCGTTTTAATCTGTAATTGATCTGTGTTAACAAGGGAAATATCCACACAGTTAAGTGCCCTCTTACATTCTCAGGATCTTCAGGTATCTGGCTCTTTTGCTATCAGTAAAAAAATAAAAAATAAATTAAAAGAACAAAAAAAGAGATTCAACTAAAGTTTCTATAGGTTAGGGTTTCAAAACACTCTTAACTGATTCACTGCAAGGAAGCTGGTCAAACTACACTAGTCTAAGGCTGATATAAATCTGTTAACTTGCCCCTTACCCCCAACTCCACAGGCTATATTTCATATGAATTAGATGATGACATGAAACTTCTAATGAATCTCTGGGGTGTTTTTAATGGATGAGAACAACATAAAAGTCAACTAAAGGAATGTGACTGTATATGATATGAGCAAAGAAGATATTAAATCATTAAATTCTGGGTCCTATGGAAATCAGAAAATGTTTATTCTCTTGAACCATAAAAATGTATTTATTTCCAAGGAAATAAGAGCTCCTGTTTTGGAAGGGCCTTGGAAATGTCAGCACTGTGGGCATCAACAGTCCCTAAACTGCAGTGGGAGCAAAAATGTGTGTTCTGAGAACTGTATAATCAAGTATAATTTTTACTAAAATATTACAGACTAAAGAACCAGAAGTCTGCAGAATTTAGAAAAGTTAAATAATTTACATTTGTCATATATCCAGCAGTGGTCAGAAGCATCAGAATCATTTCATTCTGGAGTCCAGTTCAAAAATTAATGTGCACAACTGTTGAGAAGACTGATGCCAAAGGAAACTCACTATGAATTCAAAATATGTCATGGAAGCAAAAGACACCAAACTCTAGACTGTTGTTGTTTTTTTGCTCTGGTGACTACTGAAAAAGTCTACTACTAGAGCACACAGTTATCTCCTTTGTAGGGTAATTATAGAGTTATCCTGCTCAACTGAAAAGCAAAACTGAGACAAAGCTACAAGTTTTGTCATAAGCTATTATGATGAAGTTATTTGAATGTGACTTCTGCTAAGCAGAGGAGTGTGTAAACCCTCATGTAGAACTGCTTTATAGGCAGGCACACTGCCAGGTGCATGACTTTAATAAATCCAGTTCATGGCTCTGAATTTTGAAGCAACAGAAAAAAGTAGTGGCCATTTTCCTCTGCATAGGAACTGGGACACACAGTGACAGGCTCAAGGGCTGACACCATCCCCTCAACCACGTGCCCATGTCCCCATGGGCCAGAGAAGCTGAGGCTCCATCATCCACGCCACCTGCTGCTGCTCTGGCCACATATCTTCAGCTGGCACAGTTACAGGCAGTCCCTGGATCACGAACGAGTTCCACTCCTAAATGAGCCTTTTAAGTGGAATTTGTATATAAGTTGCACCAATTAGGTACAGTTTTTATCTAATGTTAGTCAAATGTTTGTCTTAGTGTATAGTATATAGCGTACCATTTTATGCATAAAAATCATTAAAGAAACATTTGCAGATACACTAAAACATCCTTCACTGAATAATATAGTAATAATAACAATGTTTTGATGTGTCACAAAGCAGTGCCCATTTGTTATTATGAGCCATTGTATGTGCCTCAAATTTTTAATAATAACAGGTTTACGGGGGTTGGTTCATACTCTAGGCTGTACATAAGTTGGACCTTCGTAACCCAGGACTGCCTGGACTTCACTCACATGTCTTAATACTGGCACCAGGAAAGCATTAGAGAGCTGAAGGGGTTTACCTCAAGATCGCCTTTGGTAATGGATTCTTCCTCAACCCGGAACTGAAGATCCTCAACTTTCCTGTGGATTGAAACCCAAACAAAGCTTTTAGGAAAGTAACTAAAGGACGTGTCTACCTACCTAAGAAAGAAAAAGCAATCTATATTCAATATCCTGGAGAACTTAGCAGATGACCAGAAGAAAGAGAAATCTTTTCAAATAAAATTTCTTTAAAGAGATGCTTTAAAGACAAAGGAAATAGTCCTCCAGTTTATAAATCTAAGAGCTCTACTCTAAGTATTTAGAAAACTTCACAGTTCACCCAGGTACAAAAAACAGAACACACGAGGCTAAAAAACTGGTCCCCTAGGTCACAGACCAAAAGAGATATAAATGAGGCAAGACCAGCCTGAAGGGAAAAGGCCTAATGACCCCAGAGACAGGTGTGAGCTTTCAAGTCAACAACTGCTTCTTTCCAGTGACAGAGGCAGAAACAGTGGCACAGACAACCAATCTCTCTTCACATCACTCCACATGAGGTCCATTAGGATAAAGAAAACACATAGCTTCAACAAATTTACACCGGGCGTCCGTCCGTCCCTTAGGTACAAACTGAGGCTAGCAGGCTGCCTTATGTAGAGACCGCCAATCTTAAGCCTCCACAGCAATGCCAGTATTCGCTCCAGACTGGGAGAACAGGGCTGTCAACAAACTAAGGGAGACACAGTCAAGGACCCTGTTGCTCTGATTCTAAAATGGACATTGTTTTCCTATTTAAAAATCTCTGCTATTGGACTGTGTGTTTCAATAATGGTATCAGAGCCGATGAAACTTGATACATGGAAGATCTACAGAAGCCAGGTAACATCTACACTGTGAATCTTCACAAAACGGGGTGTAACACAAGAACAGGGACAAAGTTCCTAACCAACCAACCAAAAAAACCTTTTAAGCTCACCAGCATTTCCAGCAAAACTGAGAAGAAAAAAAGTCCTACTCTGCTAAGCAGAAACATCACTCACAATGTCACTGCAGAGCTGAGGGCCATCTCGACTACAGCCAATCTGTAGAGTTAACAGCTGGCTTATGGACAGAAGCACACGGTACTGGAGCCTTGGTCTTCAGAAGGCCCTGGAAGAGTCTATCACTATCTCTCACTTACTAGAATTTCCTACGTCAGTATCTCTCTCTCCCTGGGGAGGGAATGTATTAGACCTCCACTGTACCCCTACCCTCAGACCTGTTATGGCCATCCCAAACACAGTCACACTAGATTATTACTGTCGTGTGTCACTGCTCTCAGAAATGACAGAAGATGGTCTTAAACACAATGGCAGACAAGTTTCCCATACTTGAGAGATGTCCACACTTCCATCACTGCCCCAAGAAACCTTCCTTTTGTAAGAGCCCAGCCTGCCTTCACTGTCTCACAACTGTGCCCCTGCCTTGTTTGCACATGGAACTGGAGCAAATGTGCAGTTTCTCAAAGACACGGACCTCATGTCACCCACTAGACAGTATAAGTTTGTGATACATGGAAGGTGTTTCATAAATACTAGTTAACTTAGACCTGGACTATCCTCTCATCACAAACACTCCAGGTAGAAGCTGGGTTTGCATAAACTGCATGATACCGAGGTCATGCTCAAGAGGATGTTTGGGACACAGGAGGCAATAAACATGTGTCCAATGAGTCTGGCTAGGTCTGGATGATTCCACAGTTCTTGGGGAAAAACGTCAAATCAACACAAACCCTCCTCACACAGTAGGAAGAATTCCATTTCTGCTCCACTCAGAGTCATTCCTCTGGCTCTGTGGGGTGACACCAACAAGGCTATACAGGGGAAATTTGTCCTAAGTTCTTTTAAAAGGAAAAGGCTGCACGTGCACCAGGAAACAGCTTGGGATCACCTTTTCTCCTCTTCGAGCTGGTTGAGAAGTTCCACCTTCTCCCTGTCGGCCGCTTCCACCATTGTTCGCAGCTGGTCCATCTTGGCCTCCAACTCCAGGACATGCTGGGGAAGACAGGAATGGCAGTGAGGGGCAGGTTCTGAACCAGATACAGGCCCAGGGATACCTCCAAAAAGCTACAGCTAAGTGGTACCGAGGTGGGTTGGCACTACTCTAAAACCTTTCCACATTCAGATGCTGTATATGATCGTGAATGGGTTACTCTCGGCAGCTTTCCTGGAAGCTAGATGATGAACGATCAGCCATCAGAGCACCATGGGGCAATGTTACAACAACTCTCTTTTTTCGAAGCTGAAACACATACAAAGGATAATCTACAAAACAGGATTTGTAATCACAGATAAGGAGGTCATAGTAAACAAGTTGGCCTAACACAGAGAGGCTCTGAAGATAAAGACCAAAAGGCCACAGGAGAATCAAGGAAAACAAAACTTCATCTTTAGGATGACGGAAACTAGTCCCAGGTCACAGCTTGCAGACAAGCCTAGCAGGAAAATTCACTCTCATTTCCAGTACTCTCAAGACTAGCTCCCTGGCTCCAGGCACGCCTTTCGGCCTCCTCACTCAACTTCAGAACCATCACCATGTCCATCAAAGACCAGCACCAGACTTCACCTGATCGTGTCCATCCCGAGCCAGAGCTAGCTCCTGCTCTATCTCCCCCACGTGGCTCGTGGCCTTGGCCACCTCCGCCCTCTCTAGATCCCGTTCAGCCAGCAGCTGCTCAATGTGCTGCTGCTTCTCCTTCAGGGCCTCTTGGAGGGCAGTGGTGCCGGAGATCTTCCTGGTGTACCGGGAGGAGGTTTCAGTCAACTGCAAAGGAAAGTTAAAGACGTGAAGGGCGGTGACGCCACCAGGGAGGCAGGGAGGGGCGAGGCATGCACAACGGGTGGCTCCTCGGCAAAGCAGGCGGTGCCCCAGCTCACAGGCTTGCCCCTCACCAGGAAAGGCTTGTCGTCAAGACACAAGGACTCACGTGGCTGCAGTCAGTACATTTCACAAAGAACCAAAGTAAAGTGATCACGCAATAGGCACACAACGGAAAGAAGTCATGGACAGTCAAGAAGGTGTTTGGAAGGAGAACCCATGGCTCAGATCAAAGGCACTGAGTTCAGCTGGCAGGGCCTCGTAGGAATCTAGAAAAACCCCACAGAACCCACTTAGCAAGTTTCTCTGAACTCTGCCTGAGCATCATGAATACTTATCTTCTTGTTATAACACTGGCCAATCTCTTGATCATTAAACTTGAGGTTGAGACTTTTACCCAACTTCTTAAGCTTCTAGATACTATTAAGTAAGCAAGGGGTCACTTTTGGAGTTGCAAACTTTCCTTCAATTGATTAAACAGTTGGGTCTTTGTCAAGACTGTCTTCGTGTTTCTCTCACCATGAAAGGCCTAAGAGATCTGACTGAGGAATCCAGTCATGAAGGCCTGAACCCCAACCACCAGAGAGGTTTACAGAGATAAGATTAAGAGAGCAGGTGAGCGGGGGAGTGTGCCAGCATGGGAATCTCTGGGCACAAACACACATAAGAGAAAGGAAAGAAAAAAGGTATGGGGAGAGAAGAAAAAGAAAATGGAATTTGGGGAAAGAGAAACAAAGGAGGGAGGAAGAAGGAAGAGAAAGAACGGAGTGAGAACTGGGGCAACACAATGGAGGGCTTGGAAGAGATGGCATGGGAGCCTGGGTGGAGAAAGATAGCTTCTGTGTGTCCACCTGTTGACCTCTGCGTCACATACTTGATTCCTCCAACCTGAGGCCAACGGTTGTGCAAAAATTCAGAGAGGAACTGCTAAAATAACCCTTGACATCTGTGGAACGTTAACAGGCAAGGTGGCAAGGTGAATAGCATTTCTTCCAGCTCCAGAGGCTGGTAGGGGGTAGCAGCGTCTGTCCCAGGCCATTCACTTCACGGGCGTTGGCTCTACACCAACTCAGCCTTGGCGGTGTCATCTGCAACTGCAGCCCCATTTGTCACCTGAGTGATCTTCTCTCAATCCATCCATTGGAGTCCTCACGGGAGGAGGTACCTTATAATGAGGCTCTCTCATGAATTAATAATCAGGCAGTTTGACAACTAAGAGAGTAAAGGAATCCAATCAAATCTACATTGTCCTTTACAGTTGCTACTTAGTGGAATTTCTTTAATTATTTACACAGATTGGGGGGTATTCTTGCTCTCTTTTAACTATCTGACTTTCGATTCCCAATTTCATTATGTGGTTAAATTAGACTTTCTCTTCCTAACATTTGTTCTTGAATGTATTAAATCCCAAGGTTCCCAAACCTAGTACAGAAATCCCCCAGGACACCACAGCAAACAGGGGCACTGTGGGAAATTTTTAATTTTCAAGGGAAATGCAGTGACATCTGTTGGACACCATGCAAACTACTGGCTCAAGGCAATTCAGTTTCAACATTAGATTCTAAGACATTCCTTTCCATAATGTTGCACTGTGCAAAGTTGGGTTGGGGTTCCTGCCAGGATCAAAAAGCAAGTGCTGCACAAGAATCAGTGTGGCTTGTTGAATGGAAAACCAATTTGCTCTGTTAACTTTCACCCAAATCACAATTAAAAAAAATTAATTAAAAAAAAAATCAGTGTGGCAAAGGAAATGAGGGTGTAGCGTTTTTCTTTATTTAACTTTAGTTTACTTTTCACATTTAGGTCTTTTTTAAAATAATATTTCACTGTGTTTTCAGTGAAGCTTTACACAGCAGTTTAAGTTCCCTTCAACAGTTTCCACACTGGTTACCTTCCTTCAGTGACAATGGTTACTTTTCCCACAACCTAAGAACATTCTTATTATTTCTGATTTACTTGTTCCATTTCCATTAATCTAGTTTCCCTGCCCCCTCATATTCTCATCACTTTTTTTCTTTAAATTCTATTTATTTTGTTGTTGTTAAGAATATGCATAACAAAATATATCTGAATCCAACAGATACACATGTACATATACATGTACATATTCTACATGTACCATTCAGGGACACTGGTGACATTCTTCCAGTTGTACATCCATTCTCACCCTCCTGCTTCGAGTTGTTCCTCCCTCATTAACATACACTCATTGCCCACTAAGGTGCCAATCTAGTATTTTGAGTTGCTGTTGTCAATCCGATCCCATGTAGATTGTTCTCAAAAGACAACCGTGAGCAAGGCAGACAATTTTCACTAGTTAAGCTACCATAGTTTTAAGACTTCAGGGGATATTTTTGGTTCAGGGTCTAAAGATTATCTCAGGGCAACAGTTTCGGTGATTCTTCCACCTTCCAGGGCACCAGAAAGCCCAGGGGCCATGAGAACTTGAAATTCTGTTCTGTGTTTTTCCCATTTGATCAGGATTCATCTATGGAATCTTTGACCAAATGTTCAGTAATGGTAATGGGCCACCATTCTATCTTTGTGGACTCATGGCAAAGGAGGCACTTGTTCATGGAGGCTTGTCTTTGTTTTAAAGAAATTGTTGACTATTTGGTCTCATACAGGTGATTTTTTAAAGGTTGTTATTGTTGTTGTCATGTGCCGTCGAGTTGTCTCTGACTCAAAGTGACCTTATGCACAACAGAACGAAACACTGCCTGGACCTGCGCCAGCCTCATGATCACAGTACTTGTGGCTGATATTCCTTATGTTATGAGCAATCTGTTATGTAACTATAAAGTGGCCTCGGGGGGTTTGCTTCAGTTCAGGCAATAGTCCTGGGGAGTCCTCCAGCTTGTTTGTTTTAAGGAATCTGAGTTCTAGTCCACATTCTTCTCCCATTCTGTGTGGGTCCATCTATTGTGGCCCTGATTAGAACGGCTGGTACTGACAGCAGGTCATCATTTTTCTCTCTGGTCTCAGGGCAGACGAGATGGGTTCGTGTAGACTATGTGTCCTATAGACTAGTGTCTTCTTTCAGTCTTTGGTTTCCTTCTTTCTCTCTCACTCCAGACAAGGAGAGTGGCATTTTTCAATAGGATTTCAGGGTTTGAAAAGGTCTGCAGTACCCAAAAGGCACACACATCCCAATATTAAGTAATTATAGTTATTTAAGAATGAAATTAAAACATTATTTTTTTCTTTCAATCACTGTGTATCATTTCTTTTCTAAGTGGGTACTAAATTGTTGTTGTTAGGCACCGTAGGGTCTATTTTCAACTCACAGTGAGCCCATGCGACAGGACAGAACTGCCCCCTAGAGTTTTCTCGGCTGCGATCTTTAGGGAGCAGACTGCCAGGTCCTCCTTCCGCAGAGCCGCTGGGTGGGTTCTAACCACCAACCTTCCAGTTAGCAAAAAAAAAAAAAAAACTAACCCCACTGCCATCAAGTCAATTTCCCCTCATAGCAACACTATAGGACAGAGGAGAACTGCCCCATAGGGTTCCAAGGCTACAAATCTTTATGGACTCAGACTACCTCATCTTTCTCCCATGGAGTAGCTGGTGGGTTAGAACCACCACCACCCTTTTGGTTAGCAGCCAAATTCTTTAACCACTATGCCACCAGAGTTCCTTGGGATATAATAAATATTAAGTTGTCTGAACCTAATTGCTTAATAAACACAACTTAGCGCGTTTCTTCTGGCCTAGGGGCACTATGAAAAATAATGAGACACTACAGGTGCTATTAACCTAGGAAATCTGGGAACCTCTGTGCTCAGTTCTTTCAGAAGATTGTTCTGCATTAGAGAATCTGCAGACTTTTCCAGACATGCCAACACTACATTGCTTACAGAAGCCTTGGTGGCACAATGGGTAAGAGCTCAGCTGCTAACTGAAAGTCAGTGGTTTGAACCCACCAGTCGCCCCACAGGAGAAAAGACCTAGAGATCCGCTTCCACAAAGATCACAGCCCAGGAAACCCGATGGAGCAGTTCCATTCATCACACTGGGTCGCTCTGAGTCGGGACTGACTTGATGGCCTCCAACAATAACAATGACATACTGTTCAGAGATGTGTTTCTGGGAAGTAGTAATTTCAGCTCTTGTTGAACATGGCTGGTGGCATAGTGCCTAAGGCATTTGACTGCTAACCAGAAGGCTGGCGGTTCAAACCCACCAGCTGCTCCGCAGAAGGAAGATGGGGCCACCTACTTCCGTAAAGATTTACCACCTCGGAAACCCAATGGGAGTTGCTATGAGTCAGAATCGACTCGATGGCAGAGTTTGGGTTGTTTTTTAAAATGCATATATATAACTGTCATATCATTCTTTTATGGTAACTCCTTGTTTAGAAGCTACAGCTAACCTACACCAAGACACACAAAAATAAACAGACTTAAAAGTGCGGGAGTCTCGTCTCTCCTCGGTCAATATTCTTCACTGAATGGGGTGAGCTAAGAATTGGTCTGAAAAGAAAGGGCAGCGACTGGTGGGAGTAGAGAGAGCGTGATGTTTTCCAAAGACAAGGACATTTTTCATTGTTAGGCAATAAAAATCACCCAAGAAGATTTCCAGTCTGAAACAGATAATGCCACAAACTGTCCCCTCGGTTAGCACAGCAGACCAGACATCCACAGTGGAGTGTGCTGGCCCACTCTGAATAAAGCTTTGTTCAAACAGAGGGGTTTCTTCACCTCATTGTTCTTGTCACGCTTTTCTCATAAAAGTCCACTTGTGATTCTTCTGCTGTCCATGCAGGCATTCTTTTCATGTGCAAATGGACGGTCTGGACAGGTACTCATTTTGCCTAAGTGTTGAGAGCAAGACAGGCAGGCTGCCCAATGAGCACAGCCCGCAGGAAAGGAAGATTCCGCCATCCGTCCTCCCCACCTCTCCCTGTCACGGGCGACAAGAGCAGCTACGGCCACAGGAGACCGCCGCGAGCAGCCCACCTGCCCGGTCCCACCACTCCAAATCCCTGGCTCTCATTTACAACCACAAGCACAGATCCTGGTCGCCTGGGGAGAACTGCATGCTGCCCACTCAAACAAAACACAGCATTTGCCCCGCACCAGGAATTAACTCAAGGCTAGGGCCTGCCGCCAAAGGCCAGTGCTTCTGTCCCTAATACAACCCATTAACAAACAGAAGGAGGCGCTGCCTGTTTTAATTCTGATGCTTCTATTTTTACTGCCCCAAACGGGATTAAAAGTGGAGGGGAGGTAGCGAGGGAGACAGAAAGGGAAGAGAAGAGAAGAGAAGAGAAGAAACGAAACAAGCCATGGCTTTTGCTCCTTTCCAGAGGTTCTCTCTGCATCCTCTGACCAAGTCAGGAACACTCCACACAGTAATGCCTTCAGTGTGTTAGACTGTATTAATTTAAGATTCTAAGAACACTATTTTTCTCAAAATACTTTAGCTCCTCCATTGTTTAAAGTCAAAGAGAAAGAGACCAGGGTACTTGAGGAAAAGAAACCCTGCCATGGCCCGCTTGTTCTTGTTTTTTCAGAAGACGGATATACCCCCCATCAGCCTAGCAGCAGTCACTACAGATTCGTCAACAGCTACATCTTAAAGCTTTAAGAGTTTGAAAGGGACTGTTAAACATCCTTTCCTGTCTCTCAAAAATCACAGTCTAGCCGGAGTTACGTCTTTTTTTTTTTGAAACTTACTTGCAGGAAATGTCACAGCAAGCTACAACTAACATTCAACACAAGACCAAAGGGGAATTAAGCTACAACTAGCATTCAACACAAGACCAAAGAGGAATTACTGCTTTCAAGCGAAGCAGGGGCACAGGCAGTGGACACTCGGCATGCCTGGGACGCAGAGGCATGTGTAAGAAAACGGAGGCTTACTAATCCTGTCCGACTGGGCTTGCTGCTCACGGATGAAGCCACCGAGCTCATGGAGCTGAGTGAGGAGGCGGAAGGGCTGCGCTTCAGGCTGGCGGGCGTGGTGGCCATCACTCGCCTCACGGCGGCGGCCTTGGCTTTGGCTGGTGTCGTGGAAGGAAAGCCAATCTTGGTGACTTTGTGAACAGGAGCAAACAAGCCATATTTGGGTTGACACTGAAAATACCTTTAGAGAGCAACAGTGAAAACAGTTAACGAAAAGCCTTACCTAATGATCAGAAATAACAACTACAACCAAAGAGCCCTCCCAACTTCTAACCCAACTGGCTGCGAATTCGACCAACAAGCCGGGGTTACACACCAGTGCACAGCAGTCATGTGTGTGTGTGCTGACAAAAAAACCTCTCGGTGATGTTTCAGAAAATACGCTGATTAAGAATGATGGACTACACAGGGAGAGGGTTACTCATCTGTTACACGGCTCTATGCAAAAGTAATAAATATTTCCACCATCTGATCAACGTTAAGCAGAGGAGGGCAACAATTTCACAACACTACCTCATAAAAATCATGCCAAACAAAGGGAAAGGAAATCAGGCAGGCACTCAACCCCAGCAGACCCATTAACAGCAACGTGGAGAATATGAACTAGTGACGTCAGTTATGAGCTCTGGCAGTGCAGTGGCTAAGGCATTAGGCTGCCAACCCAAAGGTCGGTGGTTACAACCCACCAGCCACTCCACAGGAGAAAAATGTGGCAGTCTGTGTCCTTCAAGATCTACAGCCTTGGAAACCCTATGGGGCAGTTCTACTCTGTCCTATACGGTCGCTATGGTTCAGAGTTGATGTGATGGCAGTGGGTTTGGTTTTTTTTTTTCTTTTTGAAATGTCAGTTAACAGCAGGTTTGAAACCTTATGACTCTGTTGTTGTTGTTACGTGCTGTCGAGTCAAACCCAATTCATAGTGAATGCTCCTTGGGTTTCCAAGGTGGTATCACTACGTAAGTAGATTGCCCAACCTGCCTTCCGAGGAGTGGCTGGTGGGTTTGAACCACCAGCCTTCTGGTTAGCAGTCAAGTGCCTTAGGCACTATGCCACCAGAGCTCCTCATGACTCTAGAGAATTATGTTTTAACATCCAGAGGGATAGCTTCATAATTGTTGCCGCATCAAGAGACTGTGATATTTATGAGACACTATTATTATATTCAGTAGATAAAGCCCATATACTTATAATTGATTTGCATATGTTTTATAAGTGAGATGCAAACTATAACATTTCAATATTCAAACCCATCCATTAATAAATACTGTTACTATTAATCCATCATATACCATGCCTGTCCTAGTACCTTCTAAACCTTCTAAAAAGGAGTGAAGAAATTCCTCTTTGCTTTCATTTGCATTCTTTAACTACCATCCTGTCTCTGGGAAGACAGAGTGGGTTGTCTTTCTAAAAGAAGAAGTACAGATAATGGAACTGGGGAGCCCAGGGAGGAAACGGGGGGAGTGCTGACACAGTGTAGAGACTGCAACCAATGTCTCGGAACAATGTATGTATCAATCTTCGACTGGAACTTTGACCTAAATCACAATAAAGTGTGAACAAAATACTACTACTAAAATAATAAAAGACAAGGTATACCTGCTGTCTGTTCACTTGCACAGCATGGACTTCTTATTGTCAGACAGCAAGACCCATTTTATTTCTTTTCCTAATAAAACCACCTTCCTGCTCTTTGTGCTCACCTGCCCAAACCCCAACACCCAAGAACTCATTCAGAGGCTGACTGTTACCAAAAGGGAGCGAAGCCAAAAGGATGCCATGGTATTTCCTGTCTATGTCGGAAAATGAAGTGACTGCTCATTCAGAATCTGCTCAGACGCATTGTACCTGTTACTAAAGGTAGAATTCAAAGAATAACTCCAACTCTAGTGGGGGTAAAACAGGAATCAGGTTTTCGACTCAATGGTAAGACTGGGTTGGGTTTGGTTTTTCTGCGGGGATCTTAGGAAAAAAAGAGTACAGTGCTTAGAAGCACTTATGTCCACTTTATACATACTTGGTGAGACGTGCTTGAGGACTTTCCCATGAGGGAGGGAGTCGAGATGCCACCCAAGCCCAGACAAACCTTGTTCCAGCAACAGCCCCGTCATTCTTCCCAAGAGGTTCATCTAACTCTACACCACACCATTCCCCCTTGGCGAAGTCCGTCTCCCCAAGAAATCGAACAACACCAGCCTTAGTACCGCCAACCTGTAAGAAGAGAATGTCAAAATGAAAAGAGACAAAATTCTGGAGTTTAACACTTTTTCTGATTCTAACCAGCAGTTAAGCAGGGTGTCCCATCATTCCATCAGAGGCCTGTTCTGCCTTTACCTTCAATTCCTTAAGAGTCCTCTTGAGGAAAGGTGGCCAGTTACCTGGGTGATTTATATTATCAGAATGATTCAATACCTGAGATATAGCCTAATAAGGAAAATGCCTACATAGTATGTGGTAATTAAGACTATCCACCAAATTAATTATTTCCTTCCTTAGAAAATATATTTCATTAGTGCAGGGAGATTTTCCTGCTCAAAATAAGTATTTGCTACAGAAATAAAACTCATACATCATTAAAAGAAAATAAAATTTGTCCATATCCCTTTAACAACTGGTGTGTTTATTTTCACATCTTTATCTACAGAAAGCAATATAATATACATTGTAAAGGCAAATACACACACACATACACACACATGTATGTTTGCTTTTGGCCTGTGTATTACACAGAAATTTAAATACTTTCAAATAATTGACTATTGATATTTCCCACTGTGATGCTGTTAAAATCACCATTCCTCATATTTCATTTCACATGAACTATTCAAAGATGGTTTTTAACAATGTTTAACTCTTCATTCTGGCCACAGACTGACAGAGTATGTGACCATTAATTATCTCTAAAGTCATCCCGTCAGCATGTTCAATTCCTTCTTTTGCTGTTATTTTCAACTCCGAATACTACTTTTACCGTCTTCTCTCTCCTACGGGCACGCACCAGGTGTGCTCCTGAGTCTGTCTATGAGTCAGAAGTTCCATGTTGGTGGCTCAGCCCCAGCACTTCTGTTTCTGTCATCTTACAATCTCCACGATATCTGCTAGCACTTCTGAAGAATATCCTTTGATTTTCTCTCATTTTCTATGCTTCCTTATTTCTTAATTTTTTAAAAGAATTTCCCCAATCATAAAAGAGATGGGTCATTATAAGAAATTAAGAACTTCGTAAGCTAAATGCAATACTGGTACACTAAATAGCCAGCGACAGTCACTGCCGACCTTTTTTGCTCATTTTCCTCCCACGTTATGCTGCCAGTTTAGTATTCCCAGGATACATGCACCACAATATGCATATTACCTACTTTTCTGATCAGATGGTCACCTTTTTTATATGATTGGGGAGGGGACTCTTTACACATTGTTATTTTCAATTAATTTTTAATATGCAATACACTCGCATGGTTCGAAAATCTCTAAGTACATGCAAGTATAAAGACTTCTCTCTTACATCTTTTTCCTGTCTGCCCATCCCCCAAAACCAAACAACTAAACCTGATGCTGCTGAGTCTATTACGACTCACAGAGATCCCCATGGACAGAGTACAACTGCTCCACAGGGTTTCCAAGGCTGTGATCTTTAAGGAAGCACACTGCCACATCTTTCTCCCAAGGAGTGGCTGATGGGTTCACCCTGCGGACCTTTCAGTTAACAGCCGAGTGCCTTAACTGCTGCGCCATCAACGCTCCTTCCCCATTCCCCACCCCCACAGATAACCACAATTACTGATTTGTAGTTTCTCTGGGCATAGAAAAGCAATGTTAATTTACGTTGCTATTCCCTCTTTTATTTTTATACATGTTCTGTACCTTGCTTTGTTCCATATCAGAACACAGAGAACTTACCTGTTTTTGTAATTGCACATTATTCTACTATAGACACATCATAGTTTATTAAATCAGTCCCCTGTTGATAGACATTGAGGGTAAGCAGGTTTTTACCTTGATTTTGTTTTTTTAAAGAATTTTTCAATCAGTTTGGTAAATTCTAAAAGTCTAATGAGAGTACCTGGTGCCCTTAGTGCCTAAGGCATTTGACTGCTAACCAGAAGGCTGGCCATTCAAACCTACCAGCCACTCCTCGGAAGGAAGACGTGGCAATATACTTCTGTAAAGAGACCACCTTGAAAACCCAAAGGGGGGTTGCTATGAGTCAGATGGACTGGACTGCAGTGAGTTTGGATTTTTGGAATGAGAGTATGCTAAATTTAGAATACCTGGGGAAGAAGGTACTGTATTGGTTTATCTTGACAAAAAATCAGCTTTTAAGTGTTCTCTTTTTATGTTATATTCATTTCACTTTTTACCTTTACTATTTCCCTTTTCTTACTTTATTTTTCTATAGGGTCACTGTGTCAAAATTGACTCCACAGCAGTGGGTTTTACTTTATTTTGGTTTATTGTTATTTTCTTAATTTCTTAAGACCAACACTAAGTTCAATTTTCATCCTTCATTTTAATACCAGAGGTATTTGTTTGTCCTTCTTCTTGATAAAGCGCTCTGCAAATTCTGGAACACATATTTCTTCAGTTTTGTTTGACCCTTTGGTTTCCATCATGTTGAAAATGAAAACTGTTTGAGGCTCACGGCTACTATTTCTTCAAAATCGAGATCTCTGTGAAACTGATTTAAGAAACCAAAGGAGTTGTGAGTTCAAGGTTGTCTAGGTAGGAAGAGAGGGTCCTGGTGGCACAGTGGTAAAAGCGCTTGGCTGCTAAGCAAAAGGTTGGTCGTTCTAACCCACAAGCTGCTCTGTGAAAAAAGATGTGGCCATATGCTTCTGTGAAGATGACAGCCTTGGAAGTCTTATGGGGCAGTTCTACTCTGTCCTATAAACCAAACTCACTGCCACCGAGCTGATTCCGACTCACAGAGACCCCCTCCTTGGGTTTCCAAGGCAGTATCTCTACAGAAGCAGATTGCCCAGTCTTCCTTCTCAGGAGTGTCTGGTAGGTTTGAACCGCCAGCCTTCTGGTTAGCAGTCAAATGCCTTCACTCTGTGCTACCAGAACTCCCACTCTGTCCTATAAGACTTCTATAAACAGGAGTCAACTTGATGGCTGGAAGGAGTCCTGGGTGGCATAATTAGTTAAACACTTTGCTATGAGCAGGAAGGTACCTTGGAAGAAAGGCCTGGTGACTTGCTTCCAACAGGTCACAGCCCTGAAAACCTCATGGAGTAATTCTACTCTGCACACGAGGGCACCATCAGTTTTGGAATCAACTCAATGGCAACTAACAATGACAACAACTAGGGAGGAGGGCACCTGAGGGGTCATATAGAAATGCCCTGATGACATGACAGGTGCCACCAGAGACAGACCAAGCTGGGGTTTGGGGACAACTCCACGGCCAAGGACTTTCCATTGTTCATCACTGCAGTGTAGTAAATTACTTAGGGTGGCTTTTCTACCCTTAAGTCTTTGTAAACTCCAAGGTGGGATTTGCTATGAGCAACTGAGGAGCTCCTGATTGCTAAAGTTGTCCACCTGGAGTATTTCTGTCGGGAGTGGGATAAAACAATGTTCTGGGAGGTTCCCACTCTCTCTCAGGTGCTGAGAGTTCTGATGCTATGATTGGCTAGCTTGACCACTCTGCCAGGCTTTTCAAAAGGAGGCCTCCTAGAGGCAGAACTCTCTCTGACTGCTGGTTGAGGAAGATGTGCTGCTGAAATTGACATGTGCTCCTGAGAGACAAGTGCTGCTGTGAAAGACATGCAAGAGACACACATCGTTGAGTAATACACAGAGGGACACGCATTGCTGGGGGAGAGACTGTGAGAGACTTGACTGGGAGACGGTGGGCTGGGAGAGAGACTGAGCGTTTTTTTCCTGAACTTTAATTGTAGCCTGGTGCTTCCCTAATAAACCCCATAATCTGTGAGTTCTGTGTAGCCACTGCAGCGAATTAAACCCAGGAGAGAGGTGGTGGGTGCTTTGGGAGGAATGGTTGGAAAAAGGACTGGAGGGAGGCAGCATGTCTGGCCTCACAGAAATAGGCCTTGGGCTATTGATGGTGATTCTGTCTTCCTCTTGTGGGATCAGAGGAGGTCAGAACATGTGGCCTCCTTGCTGTTTTAGCCATCACTGTAACCACAATGCCCAGTAGAGCTCAGAGCAGGCCATCCACAAACATTTGCTCAATGAATGAAAGACGACCCCCTCAGTTGGGACCTATAGGAAGGGCCACTTTTCCATGCTTTTGAAGTTGCACCCATAAAACAAAAAACCCATCCCCTAGTTGAGGCTGAATGTTATTTCTCTGGAGCAAGTAGAGGAAGATCTATCTGCTAAAAGAGGGCAGGGCCTCTAAGGGTAGACAACGCCAACTGCCAGCTCTGGCTCTTCATCAGTCAACATACCGAATCTCTCAATCTGTTTCCTCTTTAGTAAAACGGGGATAATAAAAGGACTGTTCTGAGGATTAAATGAGACAATCCACACAAAACTGCTTAGTGCAGGAGCTGACAGACAGTTATAAAGGTTAGCAGCTAGTAGATACAAGCTAATGAGAATACTCCTGGTAAATCTGGTACATTTGACGTTTTCATATTCTTGTCAGTACTCACGAATCTACAAATAGACAATTATTTAATACAGACTTGGTTTTCTCCCTCCTCCTACCCCCGCCCCCAGGAGCAGTCCAACAGTATCATGTGAGCAGAACACAGCACATTAGTGCAAGATGATGCAAGGTCTTCAGTTCATCTTCTAGATTCTTTGAGGGTGAGTCTAAGTTGCTGTCATGAACACTCCTTTTCCAAGAAGCGTCTAACAGACTGCGGTCAGTAATTCCCCCAAGCAAACCACAGGCTTTACTCAAATCTGAACAGATTAGCAACTATTGCTCTAAAGGCAAGTAATGCAATATACCCAAACCCAAACCCAAAGCCACCCCCACTGGGTTTCCAAGGCTATAAATCTTCACAGAAGTACACTGCCTCGTACTTCTCTCACAGAGCAAACAGTGAGTCTGAACCATCGACTTTCTGATTAGCAGCCAAATGCCTTACCCACTATGCCACCAGAGCTCCTATACGGTCACCCTGAAAAAATATGTATTTGTTTGAAATAAATGATTATTAGTTCCTACAATGGACAGTTTTCTTATAATTTCTCTGCCACCAAATTTGGAATTCTTGACTCATAAATAGCCA